CGCTGAGGTCCCCTCCCAGAGGAAATAAAAGAGGAGCGAAAGGGGAGTGGAGTTTGCAGGAGACCATTAGTTCGCTTAATTGGTTCTTGACTATCCAAGACTCCTTGCCAAGTTTTTCAGATATCGGCTGGCAGCTCTCCAAGCCAGATAAGGTCTGTGACTGTAAATCCTCCCTCGAAAGACTTTGCTGGATGTGAATGAGCAGAATTCCCAGTCAATTAATAAAAGGGTTTTTTGTTGGGCAAAGGAGTTTGCTTCATGCTCTTGGGAAGCCTCGGTCGGAACATCACTTCAGTGCCGTTGTAACTTTGAACGGTCACTAAATGAACCGTTGTAAGTCAAGGGTTACCTTTAGAAGGACGTCAGGGGCACGTTTGGGAGACCGGAAGGACCAATTGGGCAATATCACCATGGAGAAAACCCATCTATGCAGTTGAGAATTAACCCTTGAAGATGCACCATCAATGAGTAGAAAACGTCCAACTCTTTGGGAGTGGAAGGGAGACGGTGGAAGGAAGCTGAAGACCATCACCAGCAAGGGAGATGGAGTTGGGTAGTGATGCTGGGGACACCATTGGAGCACCTGAAGGACCAACTTGGAGACTATCTACGTGGTCTTCCCAGAGCTGCTCCTGACTTGAGAGCATACAACTCACTCCATCGATGGGAAGACTCAAAACTTTCTTGAAAAGTCCATAAAGATGGGGAAGATGGAAGGTAAAAGAACAGGATGATCAACAGGAAGATGGACAGAGTTTTTGTGGTGGTGATGGACAGTTGGAAGAAGAACCAGATAGACAATCGAGGAGGGAAAAAAAAATCTACAGTTGCGTGGAATCAACAGTGTCTTGATGGAACACGGTTAATGTTCTCTGGGAGCTGTGGATCTTCCTGCATCTCTTTTGAGAGATTGTGGGTTGTTTTCACTCTATTCCATCTCTCTCTCTCCTACTCAAATCTTTAAAGACGGCAAAGGTTGCCCCATCTCTTCATTTCCCCCTATCCATTGTGTGGCAGATAGGACAGGCTCCAGAGGCTCAACATCATTGCCCAGAGGATCAAGGGTTGCCCTCTCCCCTCTTTGGAAGAGCTTTATAGCTGCTGCTGGCTTAAGAAAGCTCAAAACATTCTTAAAAATCCATCTCATCCTGGGCCCCCTTTTTTTTTTTTGAACTTTTACCATCGGGCAGCCGGTACAGGGAAATAAAAACAAGGACAAATAGGCTGAAAAATAGCTTCTATCCCAGGGCAGTAACTATGTTGGATTCTACTGTGTAGTGCAATATTAATGCAATATCAGAGATTTTCGATTCAATTGTGTAGAATGTGAAGGGTGCGTTTGTTTTATTTTTATAGTTATAATGTACACTGAAGATGGCATTTAATTTTGCTATACGAGGTGCAATGACAATAAATTAAACTAATAGGCTTTCATCGTTTAACAAAACAGAAGATTTGGAAGGGACCTTGGAGGTCTTCTAGTCCAACCCCCTCTACCATTCCAGACAATTTGCAATCCAGAGTGAAGATTTCTTAGCCACGTCCATTCGTCCGTTATCACAACAGACCTTCTACGTCGTTTTGCTACATCTGACCGCTGT